CTCAGAGTGGCTGGTGGGTTTGAACCATCAGCCTTTTGTTTAGCAGTCCAATGCTTTAACCATGAAACCACCACAGGTCCTTAAAGTTTGAGAAGCACTGACTAAAGCTTACACACTTGGCACATGATAAACATTTGAGAAATGACTTCTTAATAAACAGAATTTCATTTATAAGGACACTACTATGAAAGGATGACTGCGATGAGGATGGTGCGTGACTGGGCAGTGTTTCATTCTGTTGTACGTATGGTTGCCGTGAGTTGGAGCCAACTCAACAGCATTTAACAACAACTATGAAAAGGGCCAAATCTAAAACAATAAGACTTGGTTTGGACATAAAGATTGAAGGCCACTTTTCAGCTGTGGGATTGGTGACAGGGGTCCACTGGGACCCCAGGGTCTCAAGCACTGTTGTTGCTCACAAGGGCAGTGTTTCTGGGTTCCTGGAGACAGCAGTGCTAAGTCAGGCTGGGAAGGGTTAAAAGAGGTTTGAATGACTCCTGACCCCCACTTTCCACTCCATGGAGGCTGTACCCTAGTTTGGCAGGTACCCTCAGACCTCCGCCACTTCAGAGCCCGCCCTTCTCCCCTCATGCTGCTGGCATCTATCACTGAAGGCCAGCAGTGCTAGACAGCTGCTGGGAGCCGTGTTCACGGCGCACTTCACACTCTGGTCCCTCCGCAGCCAGAATCACTAAGCTGGGTCTCCGGACTTGAGTGTGGTGGCAACAGCCAGACTTGGCAAAATAAGGGGCAACGCAGAGGCTGCACAATGAACCAGGGGCTGCCCAGGATCCAGGGCCAAGTAGGAGGGCCATGGCGGAAGCTGAGCATGTATCTTGGAGGGAGAGAAGGGAGGGAAAGGCTTTGAGGAGGGCAGGTGAACAGAGACAGCCCTGTGAGTGTCAGGGAGGCAACAGGCCGGCTGACCTGCTGTCTGTCCTCTTCCTTGCACCTCTTGGGTCTGGGTGGTGACTGGCTGTGAATCAGGCTACTCGGGAAGCCCTGCTCCAACCTGCTACCTCCTCGATACCAATACTGACAGGAGTAGCAGGGCCAAACGGGATAAGATGGCTGCCTCTGGGCCTTCCCAACAGAGGCCCCTAAGGGGCTGGGAAGCCTCATACCAGCTCATCAGCCTGCCTTTCCATGGGAGCCAAAGGGGCTTTGATCACCAGGAGGTCAGAGTGCCCAGTGGAGCCCTCCGGTTATACCCATAAGGGGCTCCCTACCCTGTTTACCAAGAAAGCTGAGGCTGTAGGTGGTAAAGAGGGTACAAGTGGTGTGGCCTATGTGGGACATTTAGATTGATAAACACTCAACACACAAATGTCACACCCAAGCAAATGGCAGCTCTGCCCCTGGGAGAAGGTGGCTGGGCTTCCCTGGAGCCGTGTATGCCTCTCAGGTCACTCCTGGCCCTGGCAGCATCTGTCCCCAGCAGCATCTGTCCCCAGGTCCATGGCCTGAGGAAGAAGGGGAGGAGGGCTTCTAGCACCTCCATGCGCAAACATCCACTCCTCCATGATCACTAGGGCCCTGCAGTGCGGGGCACATGCAGATGCAGGGACAGAGGGGAACAGAGCTGACTCTACCTCACAGTCCCCACAGGCTCCTGGGGGAGGGAGGCAGGCAGGTGGGCCACAACCCGTGCACGTATGTCACACAGCAGATGTCCACATCCCTCACTACACTGAAGCTTCCTGAGGGCAAGGCTGTGTTTGCTTCCTGACCATGCATCTTCAGCCCAGGCCTAGTGTCAGTCATGTGGCAGATATTGGTAAATCCTTGTTGAGTGACTGCACATTTGTGGGCTACAGGGTGACAGGGGCTGGGACAGGAGAAGGACACAATGCTGAGGGAGCACAAGGGTGTCACAGATGGCTCTGGGACACGACACCCGAGCTGTGACTGAAGCCCGAGTGTGAGCTGTCTGGGAGAGGGATTCCAATACTCTAGGCAGGTGAGCCTGTCCAATCAGGGTGCAGCTGCACGTCCAGCCTATGGGAGGGCACAGTGTAGAGAGGGACATGGGAGTGACAGTTCTCCTCTTTCCCAAGACAAGGTGGCACCAGGAAGGCTAGGTTTCATGGGCTGGCCGCCAAAGCCTATGTCACTCACGTTATCCCTAAAGTCTGGATGGTACAACTATTGAGCCATGGTATGAGGTAAGCAGGTGTCTGAGGACTAAGAAGGCCAGGACTGTTGCAGGCCTAGAGTAGGGCCCAGTGAGACTAAGGAAGAGGAGGCTCACGTGGGGTCACTCACACCCCTTCCCAACACCTAACTCATCTCCAGCAACACAACATTGTAAGGGCCACTGCTCTGGGCTGGCACTGAGCCGCTGGCAGCTTTCCCAGTGGGCACTACAGAGGCAAAGCTCCAAGGCATGGTGGCTGCGCAGCCCTGGTGCACCACCTAGGATTCTGGCCCCTCCCGCCTCTCCCCCTCCGTGTGAGCCTGCCTCTTGCAATGTGAGCCCTCCCCTGGCCAGCCCCATGCTTCCCCAGCTTCCAGGCCCTGATCGGGTTCCCATTCCTGGACCGCCCGCGCCCCCCTGGTGACGAATTCCCGCATTACCTGAGGGATTTGCACATTGGGCATGTGCCTGTGGGTCGGAATGTCCTGGGAGAGTGCGGAGGGTGGCTGTGGGAGAGGCCTGTTGGCCACGTCCCGCTCGGCCTGGGGGACCGACCTTCAGCCTTGGCTTTCGTGTTTTTTAGAGAAGGGCCAGGATGGGACAAGATTTCTAGACAATGGTTGCCAGACTCCAAATGACTACCCAGAGCCAGTGGCGGAGACACACAAGGTTGTGTAGGAGGTGTGTCCAGCCGGGGCTGCTGGCTGCAGGGCCTGCCCTGGAGTTCCCTCGCCAGGTGTGTCTTCCCACAACCTGTGCTGAAAGTGACGCTGCCCACAAGTATCCGGTGGAGCATCCCCCACCAGCTCTGGGCAGTGGTCAGCCACAAAAGGGGTTCCATGGCCCTAGACCCACTGCTCAATCAGCCAGCAAGCAAACGGGCATCAGAATGGCTGCAAGACGTCCCAGAAGGAAGGGAGCTTGTCTGGCTGTTTTAATTCAGCAAAGGCCTCTTTTATCCACCAGCTAATAACGTTTTGTGGAGTCAGTGTGGTGAGGGACACAGTTTTGCAAACACCAGGGTAGGGAAACCAGGGCTCTAGGCCTATTCAGCCGCTGCTCCTCCTCAGAGCTTTCAGGGAAAGAGGGCAAAGCACGTGGCTGGGATGGTAAAGATTAGGGCGACCATAAACCAAAGCCAACCCATTGCCATCAAGTTGATTCTGACTTCTGGCAACCCCACGTATTAGAGGAGGAGTGAGCTCCATAGGGTTTTCTGGGCTATGATCTTTACAGAAACCCTTTAAAGGAAGCCTGGTGGTGCAACAGCTAAGCTGGGCTACCAACTAAAAGGCTGGCAGTTTGAACTCACCCAGCAGCTCTGTAGGAGAAAAGACATGGCAATCTGCTTGTAAAGGTGATGGGCTAGAAGATCGTAGGGGGCAGCTCTACTCTGACATGCGGGGTCCCTATGATTAGGAACAACTTGATGGCACCTAACAACAACAATCTCTAGGGAAGCAGATTGTCAGGCCTTTCTTCCCCAGCACCATTGGCTGGGTTCGAACCTTCAGGTTAGCAGTTGAGCACAAACCACTTGTGTCCCCCAGGAACCTAGGGTGACTATATCAAACCCCAAACCCACTGCCATTGAGTTGATTCCAACTCACAGTGACTCCCATTGGGTTTCCAAGGCATTAAATCTGTAGGGAAGTAGATTGCCCAGTCTTCCTTCTGCAGAGTGATTGGTGGGTTTGAACTACCAACCTTCTGGTTAGCAGTCAGATGCCTTAGGCACTGTGCTAGGCCTGCTTTATTGGGATGGTCTGGGTTCATGCCTGCTATCTAGGTGTGACTGTTGATGCAGCTCCTTGGACTCTCAGAGGTTTCCTGGTTGTACAGTAAATCAGATGGTCCCCAATGAAGACAGGCCTGCAGGTAGTCTCTCCCAGCTCTGAAGCCCAACTTTCACCTCATAACTTCCAAGCCACCTCTTACCTCACCTTGACTGAGAACTCAACTTGTATTTCAAGTAGCCTCTAAAGTACCAAGTAGGTATAGAGATGACTGTCCCACAGCCAGGAGTCTCCAAGGATGGCCTGGGTACCTGGTGTGGCTGCTAGGCCATGCCTCCTGCCACCCTTCCTTGATGCCACCAGCTCTGGGGCCACAGGTTCATGTGCTCCCCATTATGAAATGGAATGTGCTGGGCTCAGTCTAATGCATACCCCCACCCCTACCACAAACTCAAATCAGTAAAATCACCAGTGGATGCTGGTCTAAGTGGAGGAAGACAGGGGAAGGAGAGCAGAGAAGCTTTCTGGGGTGAAGGGATTTTTGAGTGAAAAAGTACCAAGGAACAAGACCACCTTGGATTGCCGCACTTTCCCTCTGTCCTCAAAGTGGTTTCAGGAACCATGGCATACAGGCCAGCAGACCATGCCCTTCCTGCACTCATACCTTTCTGCTCAAGTATTAGCTACAACCATCTCAGGACCAGCTACAACCAACTGTACAACCTCTAAAGTTTGGGATATTGTTCTGGGGTGGATGAGGAAAGGACAAGTCACAGCACAGAGAAGTCCACAGTAATCCATGTCGGTTCAGGCGATGGAGAGGTCAGAGCACAGAACTAAGACCGAGATGCAGTCCTCTTATCATGAAAACAGCAGGAACGGCTGGTTAAACATAAAGCACCTATAAAATTATATCGGTCCATCGTAACCATGGAGCACTCACACAAACACACACAAATCCAGCCCTCATCCCTTGCCCCTTGAGTGCCTTTTTATTTGCTATAATTAATTGGGCAAGGGTGGAACTCGGTAAAAGCTCAGCTGCGGTCAGAATCGACAGCCTTCGCTCTAGCAATAACCCACCGACGGGGAGGGGCTGGCGGCAGCTGTTGGTGTCAGGTTACCTGAAGCATGTTCAGGAGCAGGCTCCGGAACTTGGTCCCCTCCACCATGAAGAGTGCCATCTTGTCGCAGAGCTTGGCGGCCGTGAAGGCGAAGCTACGGTCCGACACGGCCTTCTGGTAGATGGTCCGCACGATCTCCCCCAGCATCTCCTCCGAGTTGGTGGAGTTCTGGGCCTCCTCCATGAAGGTGGTGAGCTTGGCGTCCACGTCACTGCTGTTGTTCCTCATGCTGTTCAGGATCTCAATCAGCTTGTCCATCTTGTTCTGCTGTGGGCTGGTCGTCTCCACGGTCACTTCATCCTGGGGTGGGAGACAAACCCAGCCACGCCTGAGTGAAGCCAAGGTTTCCGCAGGGCAGTGGCTTGGGGGAGGGAGGGCTGCCACCCCTAGAACTACCTAGTCCTACCTGTCTGACGCCCAAAGTCTGATTCCTCTGCGGCTGCTTACATCCACCAGGACCTCTCATGTCCCTAAGGCTCTCTGATAACCTTTTTCTCAGCACCTATGACATCCTGGGGGTCCCAGAGTCATGCAAATGGTTAACACACTGGGCTTAGAACTGAAAGGTTGGAGGTCTAAGTCCATCCAGAGGTGCCTTGGGAGAAAGGCCTGGCAATCAGTTTCCAAAAAAGTAGCCACTGGAAACGCTATGGAGCACAGCTCTACTCTGACACACATGGGGTTGCCATGAGTCAAACTGACTTGATGACAACTGGTACTGATACTGACATCCTGGGCTGACACCTCTTGTGAGTTCTAGCTTTTACCCCGATTCTCATGTACATTGGCTTTGTTTTGATTTATTTGTCTACTAACTGTCTTAATCTAGAAATGATTTAATGATGCTTACAAAAGATGAACTAAGATAATAAATAAGGAATTGGGCAAAGAGAAAGTGAAGGTAGGAAGACTTGAGTCAGGAAGATGGTGGTATCCAAAATGCCTGCTCTGTTGGTGAGAGTGGCCCATGGAGCAGTTCCCTTGTCCTCCAGACCCCTCAGCCCATGGCTGGCTGTGTGTTCTGAGTGTAGGTTCCATGTGAACACAGCACTGGTTTTGAGTCCAATGGAGACTGTGCCAGTCAGCTATACCTGAATGCCAAGGAATTCCCAGTGTACCACTAAACAGTTGGCATTTCCGGGAGGGAAATTTTAGACAAAAAATCCTATACCCCTGTGAAGTTTGACAGCAACTGGGACCAGATCAAGGCCTGGAGAAGGAACAAAATGGCATCTGACAGTCTCAGAATATTCCAACACAATAGATTGGTGGCCATGAATATAATCTAGCTTAACTGATGGGATGTGAGCTCAGGGTGGGAAAGGCAGGATCAGGGTGACAAAATGAAGTCCTGGGTTTGCCCTGAGTTCTAACAAGAGGAGCTCTGGGCTGGGAGGCAGCAGAGTCAGGCTCTGGACCCTGCTCTCCGCCTCTTGTCCTGTGGCTTTGGGCAAGTGGTTTCACTTCCCTACTAACACAAGAAGGATAGACTAGAAGATTGATACTGTTCCCCAAGTCTGACAAGTATTGGGTTGAGTTTCAAAAGCAACTGGTCTCTCAAGTGAGAACTGAATCTTAAGTAAGGGTTGAATCTTGGATGTCCTGTTCCTTCTCCCAATTCCCTCAAATGCATCCTCCTTTCCAAGGAAGGCTAGTCTGATTCCTTAAATTGGTTGACAAGATACAACTTCCTGCCCCATAGATATCTAATATTTTACCTGTTTCTTAAATAGGGGAAGGGAAGTGCTACTCTCCTTGATGAAAACACTGCTTGGATGGGGCTGGTGACATGTTTGTCCCCAGGGCTCATCCTGTGTGGGGTGGGCAGCCAGCAGATTGGAGGGGGACCTAGCCTGAGCCTCAGCCTGGTCCATGAGTCCAGGAGGTCTCATCTGAGGGGAGTGCTTGAAATGGATATGTGGGTGCTATGATCTACCTTCTCCATTCTACGTCCAACCCTGCTCTGACCATCTGTTTCATAGACGGTTCCAAGGCAGGAACAATAGCCCGTACCCACAAGGGTCTTCACAAATGTTATCTCATTCAGTCTTCATAATATCCCTTCAAGGTGGGTAGTATTGCACCCATTTTACAGGTGAGGAAACTGAGGCTCAGAGAGGTGAGGTTACTTTCTCAAGGTCCCCACGCCAGTCAGAGGCAGAATGAGGACTAAGCCCGGGACTCTAAAGCCCAGGTTGTTTCCACTCTGAGGTTCCACAGTGGTTCCATTTAGTAGAACTCAAGAAGAACTTAACAGTCTTCTTCCCCTAGCCAGGCTACAGCAACCTGTCTTGGAGGCTCTGCAGGCAGAGATCACACAGTGGTCATTGGGAGGGGACCTCTTCCTGGTTCCCACATCTGGGATGTAAAGAAATAAATGAGATGTTTCTTTGGACCACACAGCTGCTTGGCCCATGGGGGCACAGGGGCAGCCTTCAGACAGAAGCACGTCCTGGGGGCTTAGGGATGTGGAGGACAACAAGAGCATCATTTCAGCTTTAATAACTGACTTGGGGACCAGGTTTGCTGGTCTGATAGACGCTGAGACTATGGCCCCTAGCTGCCCTTCAGGTCTGGAATTGAATCCACTCCTGTGGCTTCCAGCCAAACAAAAGACAGGCATATGGGCTGAAGATTTACATTAGGTAGATACACTCCTTGGAGAGATCAATCACGGGAGAACAGAAGGGCTGTGTATGCACAGGGAGACAGCTTGGGGGGCAGGAGTGCATGGGAGGGAAGGACACAGGGAAGAGATGACTATGGGGAGGAAATGGGAGGGGAGCTGTTGCATTGTGGGAAATTGTAGTTAATGTCATGAGACAAAGTGTATGTGAACTGCTGTATGGAAAATTAATTTGCTCTGTAAACTTTCACCCAAATCACAATTTAAAAAAAAAAAAAAAAAGACTAATTAAGAAAAAAAGAACTGACTTGGAAAGTGCTCTGACCTGCTTTGTCCTACCTGAGTGTGGACCTTGGGCCTGGCCTTCAGGGTGAAAGTTGAGAAAGCAGTGGAGAGACAGACAGGATAGTTGGGTGGGAGGAGAATGGGGACAGACTCAGAACACCAAGCTCTACGGAAGACCCAGAATGAAGACTGCTGGCTCTGCCCACTGTGTGAGAACGCTGTGGGGAAGTCTGTCTTTCTCCAAGGTGACATTGGTGTCAGGGGTCTGGGGGGATGCTAGGCTGAGCTTGGGTGCTAGGACTTTATGCTGGAAATGACAGTTCCTCACCCTTTTCTGGAGGTGAGGCAGCTGCTCCTGAGGAGGGGCCATCGCCTCTGAAGCTCTGAGCCAGGCTATAGAGACCAGGGCCAGTATTAAGGTAGGGAAACAAGGCTCCTGGGGAGCCAGATTTAAGGAGGCTCTCACTCTTGGGGGTGTGCAAGGGCAGGGTCACCTTTGCATGATGCTGACAGGGAGCAAGTACCTCCTTAAAGTTTGCACCCTAGGCCCCTCACTTGTATCTAGACACTGGGTGATGTGGCCCAGGGATGAGGGAGGGAAAGGACAAGGTGAAGGTCAAGCTGCTTTTGCTCTGCCCAGCTCACCTGTGCTCCCATCCTAGCAGGGCCCAGAGCCAAGATGGTACTGACTTCGGGGAGAAGCATCTGCCCTTACTTCATAGGCCTAGTGCTGCCCTCAAGTATCCTTGAGTGCCACCAGGGCAGAGTCTGACCCGAGAAAAGGCTCTGGAGGACAACAGGTCTTCCCCGTACCTCTCCTATCATCCCTTAAACATGGTACCCCTTTCTTTCCTCCCTTCTCAGGACCGTCTTGGGCCTCTTGGGGAACCAGGCGGTAAGGAGCTGTTATCAAGGAGCCGGAATGTGCTAGAAGGTGTCACACACACTCTGGTCCTTGGCCAGCCCTCTGGCAGTCCAGTGGCATGTAAGACAGAGGCGTCCACATAGCCCCCCCTGGGGCCCCCTGCTTCCCTCCAAATAGCTCCCCAGGCCCTCAAACCCTCCAGGCCCCACCCCAAGCCCACCTAACAAAATGCCTACCTCTCGGCTGTCCTCCCCGGTGCAAGACAACAACTGAAATTCAATTACCGGTACCTTTTCCTTTAGCCTTCGCCGCAGCCTGTCTTTGGAAGACTGGAGCAGGGTGATTTTGGGCCGCTCCCCGATGCGCTCGGGAATAACACTGTCTTTACGCTTTGTCTCGGCCTCGGACCCCCCTGGCTGCTGTAGGGGCAGCCGCTCGGGAGCCACAGGGGCTAGGGCCTCAGGACTGCGGGGGATCTCGAGGGCACCGTGCCCTGTGTCCCCCGGGGCGTCCTCGAGTTTTGGGCCCTCGATGGTCACGGTCTCTTTGGCATTGCGGTGGGCACCTGCCTCCCCCTTGTCGCCAGGTGGGTGCTTCATGTTGTTGTGGTGCCAGCGCCGGTTCTGGCTGTAGCCATGGTGGGTGGGCCTCCCTGAGGGGTGGGGTGCTGAGCCCCCCTGGTAGGATTTCTGGTGGTCCCTGTTGTGTTTGGCACTGCCCGGCTGGTGATCGCCATGCTGTTGGGGCTTGTTCCCTCCTGGAGGTCTCTGCTGCCGTCTGCAAACCAAGAGGAAGAGACAGAGAGGAGGTCACGGGGCACAGAGATGTGCTGGAAGTGGGGGTGGTGGTCAGAGTCCCTGTATCCGAGCACAGAACAGGAATTCACTGATGTGTTCATTCATTCATTCTTTCAACAAATACTGAGTGCCTACTATGTGCCAAAGGAGCCCTGATGGCACTGAAAGGTTGGTGGTTCAAAGCCACCTAGCGGCTCTGCCAGAAAAAGACCTGGAAACCCGCTCTGTAAAGATTACAGCCTAGAAAATCCTATGGCGACTTCTACTCTGTCCCATGAGAGTATGAGTCAGAATCTCAATGACATCCAGCAATTCTGGCAGAGTCCATGACAGTGGCCCTGGGGGTACAGCAGGGAGTAAGGCAGGAAGGCAGGTCCCTGATTTGTGAAGACTCAGGTCAATCCTTCACTTAGAATACGTATTCTATTCACTTATTAAAATATGCTCTGTAGTATTAAACTACACTTATTATTGAAATACACTATATTATTGAAATACCCTTATTAAAACACTTGTTAAAAGGAGCTCTGGTGGCATAGTGCCTAAGGCACATGACTCCTAAGAAGAAGGTTGGCGTTTCAAACCCACTTGACACTCCATGGAAGGAAGACTGGGCAATCTACTTCTGTAAAGATTTACTGCCTCGGAAACCCAAAAGAGGTCGCTACGAGTCAGAATTGACTCGATGGCAGTGGGTTTTATTAAAATACACATGAGTATATGCACAGAAAACAAAATGAAAAAGATACACAAGATTACGCAATGAACTCTCCCGCCTCTGTCCCCAGCTACCAGTTAGGTCCTCCTGAGGCAATAATGACCACTGGGTGAAGCTTCCAGACGTTCTAACATGTTCAAGCAAAGATGTATACACAGACTCAACTCTCCCAACGATGACCCTGGTCATGACTTTTCATCACAAAGGCTCTTAAAAAGCAATCCACTTTTCAAAACATTTCTTTTTTTGGTACATTGACAATTTTACCCAACAACCCACTAAATAAATATGCTATTACCAAAACTCCAAACCAAACTTACTGCCATTGAGTCAACTCTGACTCATAGTGACCCCCATAGGATTTCCAAGGCTGTAAATCTTTATGGAAGCAGACTGTCTCATCTTCCGCAGAGAGGTGGGTGGGTTCAGACCACTGACTTGCTGTTAGCCAAATGCCTTAATCACTACACCACCAGACCTCCTCAAATAAATATGCCATAGCAAGAAAAAAAAAAAAAAAAGAAAGAAAGAAAGAAAGAAAGAAAGAAAGAAAGAAACAAAAACAGACTCTTAGCGACCCTTGTTGGGTTTCCAAGGCTGTAAATCTTTACGGAAGTAGACCGCCCCATCTTCCTTCTGAAATATGCTATAAACAAACCAAAACCAAATTCACTGCTGTAGAGTCGGATCTGACTCATAGCGACCCCTCCTTGGGTTTTCGAGGCAGTATCACTATGGAAGTAGATTGCCTAACCTTCCTTCAGAGGCGTGGCTGGTGGGTTTGAACCACCAGCCTTCTGGTTAGCAGTCAAATGCCTTAGGCACTAGGCCACTGGAGTGATATTTCAATATTATGGTGTTAGGCAAAGACAGATTTGCCAATTTATTTGATGTAACACTTGCTGAGCAGAGAACATCACATGGAATGAATCTGAATTGCACATCAAGGGGCGAACCCCAAAGGCTTTGATCTGTGCAGCGAGCCAGGGAGAAGGAAGGGCTGTTTGTGACCCATCAGACTGCTGTATACAAGGGTGGCTTCCCTGGCACACAAAACACTCTGGGCTTACCCTTTATCTTACCCTCAAGGTGCTGACTACGCCATAACTTAACATGAAGTGCAGTTGGAGTGCAGGATTACCACGAGCCCCCCAAAAGTTGTGAAGTTGGTGAAGGAAATTTGCAGAAAGAAGACTTTACCTTCTAAAGAATGAGCCCTCACACCCTCCTCCATAAGCCATCCCTTTGGAGGGTACAGTGGACTTCCATTGCACTGCATTTTATGAACAAGCTGGGTTTACTGACTTTCAAATTGTTGTTTATTATTTACATGAACTTGGTTTCATTGTTTGCTTAATATTTTTCATCTGTGGAAATGGAGGGTACCTTAAGTTGGGGTTAAACTCATAATTTTCCCCTTAAAAGGAAGAACAATTTTTTTCCATTGAAAAGCTTCCCACTTAGTGGCTTTGTTATTTGTTAGTTGCCGTTGATTCTGATTTACGGCGACCCCGTGTGTGCAGAGCAGAAGTGCATCGTAGTGTTTTCAAGGCTGTGAATTTTCAGACGCTGATTGCCAGGCTGTCTTCTGAAGCACCTTTGGATGAGTTTGAACTGCCATCCTTTGGGCTAGTAGTCAAGTGTTTAACCGTTTGCGTCTCCTAACCAAACCAAAAACCAAACTCACTGCTGTCGAGTCGAACCCAACTCATAGCGACCCCTCCGTGGGTTTCTGAGGCGGTATCACTATAGAAGTAGATTATCTAACCTTCCTTCTGAGGTGTCTGGTGGGTTTGAACCGCCAGCCTTCTGGTTAGCAGTCAGATGCCTTAGGCACTATGCTACCAGACCTTCTGTGTCTCATAGGGACCCAAATAAATTTTTATTTACATTCAAAAGCTTTGCACTTAGTGGCAGAGTTTGCAGAAATGAACTAAAGAAGCTAAGTGAGTCTTGTTTTCACAGAGATGGTAACATGTAACACTCATCACATCATACAGTAGGAGTAGCAATTAGTATATTGTGGAGGGAAATACGCAATTTATTTAAAAAACTTCTAAATATGAGAACCATTTGATGTAGTGATTCCACTTGCGGCAGTTTATCCAAAGGAAATAACCAAGAACGTGCACAGAGATTTAAGTACAAAGATGTGCATGACAGTGGGAACTGAATGCAGAGCAGTTAGGGACACGGCAAAGGGTCCACTCTTGTTGATGGGAGAAGACACAACTCATAACATGGAATGTGGTGGCACTTCTTAAGAGAAGAGTTTATATGCATAGGAAAATATAGAAGGATATACACTCAATGCTAACTGTGGTGATCTCTGGGTGATGGGACGAAGACCGTTACTTTCTTCTTTTTATTTGTGCTTTGTAAATGAAAGTGCATTTTTTTTTAAATAAACTTTTTTTTTCTCCTCCTGAAATAATACAGCATAATCCCTCATATTCTTTACCCAGTGTTCCTCCATGGTAACATCTTACATCTCTTTGAGTCGGAATCAACTTGACGCAAAGGGAATCTTACACAGCTATCACCTCACGTATCTCTTAGGCTGCCCATTTATACTCACATCCTCTTCTCTCCCTCCTCTCCCCTCCATGCTGTTGTTAAGCCCATCCACTGACTTTTTCATTTCAGTTACTATACTTTTCAATTCTAAAATTTCTATTTGGTTCTTCTTTACATCTTCTATTTCTTTGTTTAGATCTATTTTTCTCATGTGTTTCAAGTGTGTTCCTAATTGTTCTCCTACGCACTTTTATGACCAAAATGTAAAAACCAAACTCACTACCATTGAGTTGATTCCAACTCACAGCAACCCCCACTGGGTTTCCGAGGCAGTAAATCTTTATGGAAGTAGATTGCCCCATCTTCCTTCTACGGAGCAGTGGGTGGGTTTGAACTGCCAACCTTCTGATTAGCAGTGAAATGCCTTAGGCACTATGCCACCAGAACCATTTTTTCTTATGACAGCTGCTTTAAAATCATTGTCAGATGATACCAACATCTCTGTCATTTCAGTGTTGACAACTGCAGATTGTCTTTTTTCTTTCGGTTTAAGATACCCCTGATTTTTAAATAGATGATATCTATCTATCTATTTACTTAACTGTGGTGAAAATGTACACAAAAAAATCATTCAGCAATTCCACAAGTGCTACATGTATAATTCAGTGACACTGATCGCATTCTTCATGTCGTACAACCATCATTACTGTGCTTTTCCAAATTATTCCACCACCATTAACATAAACTCCATGCTCCCTAAGCAAAAATGTCCCCCTTTCCCCTCTCTCCCATTCCAGCAACCACTAATAATCTTTGGTTTCTATATATTTGCTTATTTCATGTAACTGAGATCATACGGTATCTGTCCCTTCATGGCTGATTTCATTCAGCATAGTATTTTCAAGGTTCCTCCATGTTGTAGCTTTCTTCAGGACTTTATTTCTCTTGATGGCTGAATAACAGTCCATTGTATGCCTATACCACATCTTGTTTATCCATTCATCTGTTGGTGGACATTTTGGTTGTTTCCACATTCTGGTGAGTGTGAAAAGTGCTGCAATGAACACTGGTATAGAGGTTTCAGTTTGTGTTCCTACTTTCACTTCTTCTGGGTATATACCTAGGATTGAGCGAGATCCCCCTGATTTTTGGTATGACAAGAGGTCTGGGTATTATGGATGTTTGTGGTATTATGTTATGAAACCCTGGACTTAATTCAACTGTTTCAGCTGGCTTCCCTCTGACCCTGTTTCAACAGTGGAAAGGGGGGGATGCTGACTTGTTATTTGCAGAAAGAGGGTAGGCATTCCATATTGGGACTAGTTTGACTTCCAAAGGGAGTTCTTCATTAATTCTGAGCAGGGATGGGAGTTCAAAGGCTCCACCTGGCTGCTCTCACATCATCCTGGCTGGGATGTTGGGGTATCATCAAAGCTGGCAAGAGTGGAAATCTAGACTCCTTGCTGAAGCTTTGGGAGTATGGGTAGAGTGGGGCCACTGTTTTATCTGTGGTGTTTGGCTGGAGTAGAGCAGTTATTGTCTAAAAATTTTCTGCTGTGCTAGGCTGCCCCTTTCCTGGTCCTTGGACTAGAGAAAACAGGCTTTCATTGGGGTGTTTCTTTTGCCTGTTGGCCTTGAGGGCTGCTGGCCTCCTTAGTTCCAAGACTGAGACATAAGAGGCAGAAAGAAAACCCAGGAAACTCACCACAATGTTGTTCCTCAAGTCCTGTGGTCCTAGCCATTCT